TATAGTCTTACCTCCCCATCCAAATAGCCACTGTCTTCAACCCCTAATAGCACACCCCACCAAGACCGATCAAGCAACAAAAATATTTCATCGTTGAGTTTACTGATGTCAGTGTAACACCCTTGGCTCCGCTCATGTAGATAAAAATCAACTGCGGTCTTAGCCCAAAGGGTATTATCCACAATTGTTTCCGGTAGTTGTCTCCTCTCCACTTCAGATACCGGAAGGGTACTAGCCGGTAACTCATACGAGAGCCAACTCTCATCCATCATGTCCGGAACTGGTGGGGGTTTCTTAATACTTCGATATATTACCCCATGTGAATCGGGCTCTGGAATGGTGGGAGGGACCTCTTCAACGATGACAATGGCCTCTTGAACGGTGGGGGGGAATCTTGAGTGAGAATAGGGGCCTCTTGAACGATTGGAGGGGACTCTTGAGGGATGACCGGTGAGTCGGGCTTCTTCTTGCGGAGTCTTCGCACCATTGGGGTGAACGGAGACGTAATAGCACGTCCACGCCGTCTAATGCATGAACTCCGTTGTGCAAGGAAAACCCGACGTAAAGCATCCACCTTATCGGGCCGCTAAAAAAAATTAATACATAAATCAGTAAATAAACAGACATGATATTAAACAAAGACAAATATGTTTCAAACTAGCATTGTATTCACCCAAATCATTATTCTATCATAGTTCACAAAATGCTCAGATAACATTCCAGAAGTAAGCACTTATATAAACATTTAAAAGGACAACATATATAAACATTCCAGAAGAAGAATAGTTTACTTTCGCACAAAACTTAAAATCGCAACGCGAAATGACTATCGCAACGCGGAAATGGCTATCGCAATGCGAAATGAAAATCGCAACGCGAAATGAAATCGCAACGACAAAATCGCAACACGAAACACAAATCGCATTGCGATTTTTTTCGCGTTGCGATTTTGTCGTTGCGATTTCATTTCGCGTTGCGATTTTGTCGTTGCGATTTTCATTTCGCATTGCGATAGCCATTTCCGCGTTGCGATAGTCATTTCGTGTTGCGAAAGTAAACTATTCTTCTTCTGCAAATTGAAACTTGAATGGATTGCATTACTTCAACCAAAAGACAAAAACAAAACCAAAACAAATACTAACAAAAACAGATTGGCAACAACCGAATGAATTACGAGTATGAAAAATCTTAAACTTACCTCGTTGCGTAGAGTATGAACCTCATTCTGCAACGATGCTACCATCTCACGTAGAGCGGCTACCTCACCGCGTAATGTAGACACCTCAACACGCCATGCACCATCTTCTTTGCGTAAAGTACCGACCTCCTCACGCAAGGCATTGACCTCATCACGTAACTCCCCTAACTCATCCCGTTGAGGTGGAGGTGGAGAACAGGGAGATAAACGTCGTGGCATCTTTGCCGGTCGCCTATCTTGCGGTGATGGTGGAGAAGAGGCTCGATGATGTGACAGAATAGGTGATGGCTGTCGTTGTGGAGGTGTATAGCCGGTCGATCAGATGATGGCTCTGGGTGGGGTGATAGCTCTGGGCGAGGTGATGGCTCCCGAAGTGGAGGCTGCTCATCAACCGTTCCATCAAAAAAAACGCTTACTAGCTTGCCACCAATCAGTGGCAAGCTCAGCTTCGTGGGTGTCAGCCTCTGTAGAGGAGTGTTGGCCTCCTAACAATATAAAAGCTCAAACAAAGTTAAATGTGTACTAGTAATAACTTGTTTATAAACATGGTAGTATTTATGTTAACTTACATTATTTATTGTCGTATACCGTAGTAATAATTGCAAGGTTCGTTTCCTCTTCCAGGAAATAGCCCTGAGAATATTATTTGAAGTTTTTATTGCATATGTCTTCATGGCGGGAAAGGCCTCAAATATCCAAATCTACAAACAATATAATAACAAACATTAGTAATTGTTAAATAATTACTTATAATTTTGGAAACATTATAAAAATTCTTACCTTAAAGGCCCAAATAAGCCTGTCAAAGTGTATTTGGAACCATCGCCATGCAAACTTTTTCGATCATCCAAGGCAGACGATAACTTATTCCATGTAGCTTTCCATAAATACGAGCCCCACGGAAACAGGTTCCCGCATTTAGGTCTTCTACCAATTTGATTAGATCATTTGGAATAGGTTGTCTGGCCTCTCTGCCTAAAACGCCGGCATGCAAAAGAATTAGAAGGCATACTCGGACAACGTCGACGTCATCCATCCGAGTAAAACCATCTTTATTATTAAAAAATCTTGTCAGGTCTTCTACGTGTAGACTCGGCCTCTCCAGCTCAGGAAAAACCTGGGATAGCCATGATGGGCGGGTAATGTGTCTAGTGTACCGACCTACATCATCGTGTCCGAAGCGTAGACCGGTGATTAAGCAAAACTCCTCCCGCCCAAAACACGTATACGCCGGTGGAAAATCAAACCATATCTCTTCATCACGACGTTGTATAGTCTCTGGTAGATCTCTAGTCATGGTTTGAAGAAACAGGTGTGTCAACATCGCATCTCCACCGGGATGTTGTACTTTCAGCCATGGCCCGAAGCATGTATCCTCAAACATTTTTCTTTGTGCAGGTGAAAGCTTCGACGCAATTGTTTTGGCCAGGCTGACTTTATTTCTCAAGGTCAATTGAGCCGAATAAAAGTTCTACAAAAAAAATAAACATAAATTAGATATACCAAAAACTACACTGTGAAGATATACCAAAAACAATAATAAACATAAATAGTAGTAGTTTATTCTTCAAACTTAAATATGCAACACTGTGAATTTCGTATTTGTCTTTGTTTTTTGGTTGAAGTAATGCAATTCATTCAAGTTTCAATTTGCAGAAGAAGAATAGTTTCTGAAAATGAAAATCGCAACACGAAAATGACTATCGCAACGAGAGAATCGCAACGCGAAACTAAAATCGCGTTGCGATTTGCATTTCGCGTTGCGATTCTTGGTTGATTAATAAGCAATCTAAGTGAAATGGTTAATCTATTATTGAAATTACCAGTAAACTTATCATCAATTTCAATATGAAAAACCTAATAATAATGCAAAAATTTCAAAAAGAAAATAATTAAAAAAACTAACCCTCGTTGGTTGATTTGGTTGATTTTCCATTTCTGATTGTGAGGGTGGCTTTGAGAGATTTAGATAGACGGATTTCGCCGGAGATGGGGACGGATTTCGTCGGAGATGGGTGAGAGAGTGAGAGATGGAGATGGGACTGAGTTGTGATTTTAGGTTTTAGGTTATGAGTTGCGATTACGGGATATACTGTGGACAGTTCAGTGTTCCAATATATTAATATTCATGTTTGGAATTTAAAAATAAAATACTTGGCCAGGATACTAATGGCGCTTTGAAAATCGCATTGCGATTATGTAAATCGCGTTGCGAAAGTCAGTATCGCGTTGCGAAAGTAAGTATCTCGTTGCGATTTTGTATTATCGCATTGCGATAGTAAGTATCGCATTGCGATTTTCCCAATTCGCGTTGCGATTTACTTATTCGCATTGCGATTTTCCCAATTCGCGTTGCGATTTACTTATTCGCATTGCGAATTGTGAAAATCGCAACGATACTGTAGACCATCGCAACGCGATTTTCAACTATCGCATTGCGAAAATACAACGCGAATTTGCGATAATGGAGATCGCGTTGCGAATTAGCGATCGCATTGCGATTTTGTTGGTCATTTTGGCAAATCCGGAAAAAGTTGGTTAAAATCGTATATTATATGGGATTTTTGATCACTGAGGTTATTTTCTCTACTTTAAATATCTATTTTGACCAAAAAAAATACTTTAGGTATCTAGTTTGGCCAAAAAGATAGGCTTAAGTTCTTAATTTGACTAAAAAATACTTTAGATAAAATAGATGAAAAAATAATATACTTTAGGTGCTAATTTAAAATAATATACTTTAGGTGCTAATTTGTAATATTAGCCTTTTAAAAAAACCCTGGGTTTTAATTTATTCAAGGTATTGTGATAAGAGTATACATAGATTGAAATTAAATTAATTATTAAAAATATTTAATTAACATTAATATTTATAATAACTACAAATAAATAATATATACATTAGATAAGTTAGATCCTAGATAATTATTGTAATTATAAAAAAATTGATGAAATTTATTAAAGATGGAATCTCTATTTAATGGAGGTTAATTCAAGTGGTAAACAACTTGATATTACTTAGGTAAATCTCAAATTCAAGTCCTTGTATTTTTTTTTACCTCACCGTTAATTCCTTACATTAGATTGCACTAATTTATAGCCACATGGGACAGAATTAGAAGTTACCAATTTATAGTCAAAGGTAGGGATGGCAACGGGCCGGGTTCGGGTCGGGTATTGGTCCCCCCGTCCCCGTTTAAAAAATCGGTACCCGTCCCCGTTTAAAAAACCGCGGGGATTTAAACGGGGATCCCCGTCGGGTAATCGGGGAAAACCGCGGGGAAACGGGTATCCCCGTTTAGCATAAACGGTTATTTAAACGGGTATTGGGCCGGGTATTGGGTCGGGTATTGGGCCGAGAATCGGGCTGGGTATATATATATATTTAAATTAAATATATAAATATATTTTTTATTTAAATTAAATTTATTAATATTATATATATATATATATAAATAATTATTTTTAATATTTATCGGGTCGGGTATCGGGGCGGGTAATTGGGGCGGGGATTACCAAACCCGTCCCCATTTAAAATAAATGGGTTTTCTCCGTCCCCGTCCCCGTCCCCATTTATCATCTCCGAACTCAACCCATTTAATTCGATTTTTAATTTTTTCTGTCAGATTCAGATTTTTTTGCCATCCCTAGTCACAGGGAGCAAAATGCACCCTGAAAGCCCCATACACCACACGTTTGAAAATATATCAAAGAAAATTAGGCTGGATTGAAGTGTAACACATAAGCACAAACGTCAAATCACATCCATACATTGAATGAGATCCTATCCATAATCTCACCCTCTCCTTTCACTCATCCACCTCCTCAATTCTACATTTGTTCTTATTATTCATAATCAAAACCTTTGCCTCGGCTTCCTTCCTCGTTCATCATGGCGTCGGTTACTCTTTCTGTAGCCAAACCAACCCTTCAGGTTCAATGCTGCTCAGTCTTATTATCAGTACTTCACTTTTTTACTAATCAAATCAACCTTTCCTTTTTCTTTCAGGCAAATGGAAAGGGTTTTGCTGAATTCTCAGGCCTACGCAACTCTGGTAGCCTTCCCTTTTCCAGGAAAACCTCGGATGACTTTCACTCAGTCATTGCTTTTCAAACATCTGCTGTGAGTTTGATGCTCCTTTGTACTGACTTTCTGGTTAAGTTTGTTCCTTTAACTTGTGTGCATCTTGTTTGTAGTTGGGAAGCAATGGTGGATACCGGAATGGGGTGGTGGAGGCAAAGCTGAAGGTGGCTATAAATGGGTTTGGTAGGATTGGAAGGAACTTCTTAAGGTGCTGGCATGGACGTAAGGACTCACCACTTGATGTCATTGCAATCAATGACACTGGTGGTGTTAAGCAGGCTTCTCACCTTCTCAAATATGACTCTATCCTTGGCATATTTGAAGCCGATGTCAAGCCTGTTGGTGACAATGCCATCTCTGTTGATGGCAAGGTCATCAAGGTCGTTTCGGATCGCAACCCCCGCAACCTCCCATGGAAGTAAAAATTTATTATTCTCATATCTCTAGTTCTACATTAAAATGCATCGTATTTGCATATAAATTAACAATTGCTTGTAATCAACGTGTCATTGTAACTGAATGTTGATGCAGAGACTTGGGGATTGATCTGGTGATCGAAGGAACCGGTGTGTTTGTCGACAGAGATGGTGCAGGAAAGCACATTCAAGCAGGAGCCAAGAAAGTGCTCATAACTGCCCCTGGAAAAGGCGACATCCAAACCTATGTTGTTGGAGTTAATGCTGATGCATACAACCCAGATGAGTCCATTATCAGCAATGCTTCTTGCACCACCAATTGCCTTGCTCCCTTTGTCAAGGTTCTGGACCAGAAGTTTGGTAACTCCCTGTGCATAAAATTTCTTAATATGCCTCAGCTTTTAATCCGCGCTTCTTTAGATGGTTGGACTCAAGTAGTACGTATGACAGCAGATATTGTGCTGATGTGCCAATTACAGTAGATATAGTTCAGAGGCAGAAAATGTAGACGAGCAATAATGGGGAACTAACATAATACATGGCAGGTATCATCAAGGGGACCATGACTACAACTCACTCATACACTGGTGACCAACGGTTACTTGATGCTAGCCACCGTGACCTCAGGCGTGCTAGAGCTGCTGCTCTGAACATTGTCCCAACTTCAACTGGTGCAGCCAAGGCTGTGGCACTTGTACTCCCTACTCTCAAAGGCAAACTAAATGGCATTGCTTTGCGTGTACCAACACCAAATGTCTCGGTTGTTGACCTAGTCGTCCAGGTTTCGAAGAAGACCTTGGCTGAAGAGGTGAATGCTGCTTTCAGAGAAAGTGCAGAGAAAGAGCTTAATGGTATCCTTTCTGTATGTGATGAACCCCTTGTTTCAGTCGACTTTAGGTGTTCTGATGTGTCCTCCACCATCGACGCATCACTCACCATGGTCATGGGAGAAGACATGGTTAAGGTGATCGCTTGGTACGACAACGAGTGGGGTTACTCTCAAAGGGTCGTAGACTTGGCTGATATTGTTGCCAACAACTGGAAGTGATCGGAAATACTTGTATGCAACATGATGGTTAATTTTTGCTCATCTTATTTCTTTTCGGCTTTCATCAAGAATGTATAAATTTAATGTTGGACTATATCTGACATGTTTATGCAATAAAAATCTTGCTTTGACATTGAAGGCCTGCCTCCGTTCTATTTATGCCATTGCTTGGTTGAAGGAAGCATGTAATATTGTCAAAAGTGCAATCTTTTTTAGGGTAAACTACGAATAGTTAATCGTCGACAACATTTTTTTTTAATAGTTTAGAGTGATTACAAAGAATGTATTATATGTTTAGAATTTTTTAACCTATAATAACGTGTGCACACCGCTGCAAACACTGCTACTCGAATCCAATTCTTAACATTCCCTTTTACCAATGAGGTTACTCAATGGATTCACATTGACAAACATGTTTAACGTTATTTTTTAGGCTAAAAATTGTTTCACTGCAATTCATTGTGGAATGAATAAAATTTGCTCTTACAGAAAATAAACCCCTAACAGAAAACAATGATATATATATATTATTTCAAAAAGGAAAGAAAAGAAAAATAACATGGTGCATCTCAATCTCAAAAGCACCATAGATCTTTACAGTGATAAAGACCAAAAAGAACTATCACCTGTTACAACAATTAGCATAGTGTAAGTTGTACTATTTTTTTCAGCTGCAAAGACTGCAATAACCTCCCCACCATTCTGCTCGTTAAAACAACCAATGTTTCTTCTTTGGCTTCTGAACCGGGGCACCTGGAAAAGATGGGAAACATTTTATCCTTTGAATATCCAAAATGCAGACAGGCCAATTCTAAAATCATGTCTTCACCATAACAAACCTTGAATCGCATATAGTGAGTTGTAGTGCACCTCAGACCAGAAACTCAACCACAATTCTGCATTAATAAACATAACAGATCAAAACCATAAGAATATATTCTTGAATATCCAGATTTTTGAACCGATATCCAGAAGATATTGATAGTTTGAATGATAACAAGCTTAAAAATATCAGTGTAACACATGTTACTTGTTTATGCATAAATGCTGGGAGGATTCTCCAAGTCGGGTTAAAAAACGAGAAACAAAGTCAAGTTAACCAATAACCAAACAGTCTCGATGAAAAAAATGCTTTACATTGCATGGATTAGGAAATAAAAAAAGCTGTTGCACAAGGATGCTATCGGGATGGAAGAATAAAAAGCCACTCTTACAAGTCAGGAAGTTTGTTGAGCATTCTCAAGTTGAGACAAAAAGTATTTGGAAAGTAAGAGTTTATGTGCAAGCATGATTATTTATTGGAAAATAGGCAGACCGCTGCAGGCTGCATATTTGGGACCTTGATCTTCAAGCATACTAAAGTGCACCCATGAAAAGCACACACAGAGTGATAAGGACAGGGAGAGCATGATGAATAACTACTTGAAAAGAAATAAAATAATAATAACAAAACAGTAACATGTATGAAAACAGAGGGTTTTTTTTTTTTTTTTTCCAAAAAGAAGAAAAAAGAAAATCTATTTCCATTCTCACCATATTTAGGAGCCTGGCCTTGTGGCATTATTTCAATAAAGCAAGTATCTCTGAATGATGTCAAAAGGCATATTTTTACTCCAAACTGCAAATACACAGATACCACATATTACACACTGATATGATGGACTAGGATCAAGCTCAACTGAGTATCGAGGCATTTTACTTGGAGTACTGCAAACTCAGAACACATTCACAATACTTGGAAGAATTGATTTTTTTTAAAAGGGATTATCACTTCAGATGCTTCTAACAATATTTTCACAACTGCATCATCATTATCAGATATTTCTACAAATCAAAAAAGAAGTCAACATCTAAGACATCTTCAAACATGTTGGATATATTAAAGGCTAAATTATAAAATATAGACGAAACTTATCAAAGAAACACAAATTTGACTGGAGAAGTCACAATTAATGCTTTTCACTGAAATCTGAGAAATTTGCATAACAAAAAACTTCAGCTGGAATAGTATTCACACCATATCTGTATGTTGATTTCCAATTCATTAGATTGTGCATGGAGGGTTAAAGATAGAGATACAACAAAGACTGTCAGCTTGATTATATGATACGGAATTTAAACTGTTAAACATCATGACTACCTTATAGAAGAGTAAGTTAAAAGAGGCAGCAAATATGATAGTTTTTTATGATGGAAGACAAACCTTATCAGAAGCTGCTTGTAAGGTAACATGGTCACCCCATTCTCCAGATCTACACAAAAGGTTAATTAGATTTGCAAATTCTTCAATGTGAGAAAAAAATCAAGTTCAACTAAACTCTAAAATAGAAGCATCAGTTCAAATAACACTTTCACATCAAAGGAGCAAGTCTAAGACCCTTAATGATTAAACATACTTCGCCATTTTCTTGCAATATTTCTTGTACTTCATTGGAACATATCCTTCATACAAGTTACGGTTGTCTTTAAGCTGGAATAGGAAAGAGTTAACACAAATAAGAAAAAAGAAGTAATCATTTAAAACTAATTACTTAGCATTTCTTTTCATCCCATCTCTGGGATATCTTTCACAAATATAAAACTCCAGAAATTTATTTTTCATAGAATTCATAGTGAACTTCAAACAGTTGACCAAATAAGTTCAAGAAAAAAAAAATAAGGATAAGATTGATTGTAATGTATGGAAAGACAGGAATGTTAGTATGTATGCTGTAAGTGGCTAAATGTCTTTATACTGGGATGGAGAAGGTTCCATCACTATGTTATGAATTAGGTACAGGAGGAGGAGCCAGAAGAAGTTGCAGCAGAATCTTTTCCATAATTCTCGAGGAGACAGACACTACTGAAGTAGATATTTAGGGGAGCACTAGGAAGAAAAGTGCTGCTCTTGATGGAGAGAACAATTAAATGAAACAATATGGAGATATATACAACTGATAACAAGATGTTGAAATTTCTACCGGGTTTTATACTATTTTTTCTCTAGGACTATAGATACAAAGGTTATGAAGTTAATATCTCATCTCCTATTGTGAACTCACACCAACAACTTAGGTGAAAATTTTCAATCCCTACAATGTTGCAACATGATCAAAACACTAAGCGATTAAGGGCCTGATATTTGGTTTCACATAAAATATCTGTTGGAAATCCTTAAATTAAGGAGATTCTCTACCTTAGTTCTAGGAATTTCCTTGTAAATATTAGGCATGATCTAATTACTGATTTTTAGGGATAGGCATATTATTAGAGATTATTTCCTTGTAAATATTAGAGATTATTTCATTTTTTATTTTTTTCTGCTATGTTAAAAAGGGTGTACTCATATTCGAAGAAATAAGAGACTTTTCTTCTTCCTAAATTTGTTCATGGTATCGAGAGCCATAGGATTCATTCGATCCTACTCATTTGTCTCTCATCTCTCTTCCTAAACATTTTTTTTTCTTTTTTTCTTCTCTCATGGGTGATATCAATGAAACCCTCTCTAATTGTAACATCCTCAATATCAGGCTAGTGACCTAAAGGTGAATTTTGAAAGCATTGTGTTCAATTTCGAAATAAGTTAAAAGTTCAGAATTTTAATTGGAGAATTTTGAGGTTGGATTTAATAGTAAAGTTTGAAAGTAATAAGGGTATTATGGTCTTTTCTAAGAGAAGATTTTTATTTCTCTTTTAGGGGATATAAAAACGTGGGAAATGAGGGAAATGAGTTTCCAGAGTTTTCTTCTTCTCCTTTCTTCTTCAAGCGTGGAAGCCAAGAGCAAAGGTGAGAATTTTTATTAGTTGATTATTATTTGAATTCTAAGTTGGTTTTGATTCTTTGGAAAGTAAGAAAGCTTAAAGAAGTCTAAATATAAGTGAAAACTCAAAGATGAAGAGGTTAGAAGAGATTAAAGAAAATGGGTTTTTAAGTGAAATTTTGAATAAGAAGGTTTAAATGAATTTGGAGGATGAATTTGACTTGTCATCTATAAGAATAAGAAGTTAGAAGTGTTAAAATTAAGTTTGGATAACATGGAAAATTGGATATGATTATTGATTTCCATATGAAAGATGGAATTTAGAGGTTAAAGATGAGATAAATGAATATTAATGAGTTTAAGTATGTATATGTAAGTTAGGAATATGAAAGGGATTGAAATATGAAGGATTTAATCCAAAAAGAATGAATTTTCGGGTTCAAAAAGAGGATTCTGGGCAGAGTGCATCGATGCATATTCATAGTGCACCGATGCATCAAGGTTAAAACCCATAAATTGTTTGAAGGTGTATCGATGCACAAGTAGTGCATCGATACACTCTTTTAATCTAAAAACATCGAATGCAATTGGTGCATCGATGCATAAGGCATGCATCGATGCATCCTAGTAATAAACAAACATCGAATGTATTTTATGCACCGATGCACAAGTAGTGCATTGATGCACCGATAGGGAATGCATCGATACACTGTGCAGTGCATCGATGCATACCTTCATTAAAAGATGAAATGAGCTTTTCTTTTAGCCTAAGAAGTGACAATTTAGAAGATATCAATTAGTATACTGATATGTATCAATGTATTATTATGATGTAGATATAGAATAAAGCTTGTTCCGGAACAATCTAAGGATTAAGATTGATTTAAAGCAAACAAGGCTCAGGTGAGTGTAAATTATTTAGTATATGAGGTTCAATGGAAAATAAGACTTGCGATAAGTCTATTTCCAATAGTGAAAAACATGAATTCATAGAAGTATGTATTGGTTATAATTTATATGTGTGCATGAGTATATGTGTTATTGATATGAATATGGTAAGTAAAAGGGATTAATGGTGATGATAAGAATAATAATAAGGATAATGAAATGATAGGTATATGTGAATATAGGTATTGATGTGTTTTTGTATGTATTGTAAGATGATATGTTTATATGATAACATGATAAGATGACAATGATTTACATGTCATATGAACTCATATGAGAATTGACATGAACTACGTGATTACATGTATATATGAATGAAACCATGAGCTTATATGAATATATTATATGGTTACATGAATATGTAAAAGGACATAAAAGATAATGCCCATGTTATGTGTCATGAGAGCTAGGGGTATAGTTGGCATGCCAAGAGTCGAGGGTCTATGTGGTCCTTCGGGACATATATTTTTTGGAACATGTGTGAAATCTGGTGAGATACATACTTGATCCTTGGCATATGTATATTATTCTTAAGGAATGATATGTGGTCCTTCAGGACATATATGTATTCTTTGGAACATGTGTGAAGTCTGGTGAGACACATTCTTGATCCCTAGTATATGTATATGATTCTTAAGGAATGATATGTGGTCCTTATGGACATTATTATATGGCACTACGGTGCAATTCTACGCGGCACTCCGGTGCAATTATACGTGGCACTTCGGTGCAATTATATGAGCTGTGATGACAGCATTAGTGCACAACCTCTATGTACTAACATATCTTTAGTTCTCACATGTGTATCATGGGCTATTAAATAGATAATATTAATAAAGTGATATGATAATATGTTTGTTTCCTTGTAGAATTTCATGTGTGATATTGATTGTACAAATGGTAACTTATAAGACCATATGATGAAAGGAATCAATGATAGTAATAAAATAAGAAAGAAATGAAGATGATAATATAGTTGCTTGGGTGTACGTGTTTTATGATAGTATATATATATATGGTTTACATGACATGATATGTATATGTGCAATTGGTTATGGTATATGTTATATGATATGGACATAAGAGATCATAGGAACATGAGATAAGAGATATGAATGATAATGACATATATGTATGCATATATTCGTTACATGTAAAAGTATGAGTGGTATGAAATGATAGTAGTAATTGTTTAGGTATGATTATTAGTTACCGTTTACCTTATATGTTTATATGCCTCACTAAGTCTTTGACTTAGCGTGTAAGTGATTTACACGTAGGTTTCGAGAAGAGTAAAGAGCAATGTGGAGCAAGACAGGTCAGTTCTCCTTACTAAAAGTCAGATCAGAAAAGAGGTGAATAATATGTATTTTAGTATATAAAGTTCTAGTTGGCATGTTTTCAAAAGAATATATTGTTTAAGCTATGAATAGTTTTATAAATGTTTCGAATAGTTATATGTAAATAAACAAGTGAAATGTACAAGCTCTGATTGGTTTTGTAATAATGAAAATGTCTTTTATGTAAATTAGTCATTTATATGTTATAAAAGTTTTAAATTACTCACTATTTTATACAAGTACATGTTTTAAAAGGTCAATGTGACACCTCGGATTCGTATCTGGGTCGGATACGGGTTGGGGTGTTACACTAATTCCGGTTCAAATAGGCCATTGTGTAGCCACTGTAACCGGGTTTGACATACCAAGGAGAAATGCTTTAAACTCCATGGTTATCCTGAAAAAAATCAGAAAGAAAACAAGGCAACAATGATATCAACTACTGAAGAAGATGCCCAGGATGTTCGGCTCACCAAAACTCAACTTGAGGCTCTTCATAAACTCCTCGGGACTCCTACAACCATTGGATCACTAGCTATTCAAGGTACTGCCTTAAATACTACACATGAACCAATCTGGATACTAGATTCGGGTGCATCCAACCATATGACAGGTAATATAAGTTTGTTTCACTCATATTTACCTTGTCATGATCACTCCCGGATTCGCATAGCTGATGGATCTTACTCCCCAGTGGCTGGAATTGGAACGATCAGACTCACTGAAAATTTTTCCATTGATAAAGTTTTATATGTTCCAAATCTTTCTTGTAATTTACTCTCAATTAGCAAGCTTACCAAGGATGAGAAAGTACTTGCTGAATTTTCTGCTTTCGGTTGTGTGATTCAGGAACAAGAATCGGGGAAGATGATTGGCACTGCTAAAGTTGATGATGGCTTATATATTTGGAATAAAATAGTTCACAAGGAGGAATGGCCTTATCTACATCGAAAGAAGAATCTATCATGCTATGGCACCGTAGACTAGGACACCCTAATTTTACGTACTTGAAAAAACTATTTCCTCTACTATTTCTAAATAAGAAAATAAGTTCCTTGAATTGTGAAGTTTACCAACTGTCTAACATACTCGTGTCCCTTATCCTTTGAAACCTTATGTTCAATCTCAACCTTTCTCTTTAATCCACAGTGATCTATGGGGAGCCAGTCGAGAAAAAAATGTCACAGGGGCTAGGTGGTTCATAACATTCATTGATGACCACACTACAGTTTGTTGGATCTATCTTCTCAAAGAAAAAACCGAAGTCTCTAGAGTCTTCCAAAGTTTTCATTCAATGATTCAAACTCAGTTCAATTCCAAATTCATACCCTTAGAACTGATAATGTGAGAGAGTACTTCAATTCTATCCTAAGCCCTTATCTTTCTGAGCAAGGAATCATACATCAGAGTTCTTGTTCTGACACCCCTCAACAAAACGAGGTTTTCGAGAGGAAAAACAGACACCTTTTAGCCGTGGCTCGTGCTCTTATGTTTACTATGGGTGTACCGAAGTATTTATGGGGAGAAGCTGTTCTCACTGCTTGTTATCTTATAAACCGACTCCCATCAAACGTATTAAACTTTCAAACACCTTTACATACTCTTCAAAAATATTTCCGTTGTTCCGTGCTCCTAATCTCCCAACCAAAACTTTTGGTTGCAAAGCATTTGTCCACAATCATCAACCTAACCGATCTAAACTTGATCCTAGAGCTCACACTTGTGTTTCTTGGATACTCACCTACACAAAAGGGGTACAAGTGTTATTCTCCAACCCTAAACCGGATGATTGTGTCCCTTGATGTTACTTTCTTTGAAAACGAGCCATATTTTTCAGCCTCTAATCTTCAGGTGGAGATATTTAGTGAAGATGAGACATTGAACAACCTTCTCAATATACCTCAAGACTCTATCAATCCTACCACCACTACTGAAAATCCTACAGCCACTGCTGAAAGTCCTACAACCATTGTTATTCCTGATTTGAACCCCGTTTTACTCGACTCCTCTTGCAGCAACAAGAAACAAGGGCGATTAATCATACAAATGAAGAAAAACAACCCTCTCCTTATGAAAACAACAAGAAAAACTCAGCAGCTTCGTGTATATTCTCGGAAACATCAGCTGCCAGAAACTGAAATAGCAGTGCCAATGCCATCTTTACCCGAGGACTGTCCTGAGGAAGAAGTCTCACCTCCTTCGCCTTCCATATATCTTCCAATTGCAATCAGAAAGGGCACGAGAAGCTGCACTCAACATCCCATTTCTCGGTTTGTATCCTATGGGAACTTGTCTAAATCCTACAATGCCTTTATTTCTAATATTGACTCTGTAGAAACTCCAAAGAACATAGAAGAGGCTCTTAAGTCAACCAAATGGAAGCAAGCCGTGTTGGAAGAAATAAAGGCTCTTGAAGACAATGAAATGTGGGAAATATCTAAACTACCTACTGGAAAGAAGACCGTGGGTTGTAAGTGGATTTTCACTACGAAAGTTAAACCAGATGGGAGCATTGATCGATACAAGGATAGACTTGTGGCCAGGGTTTCACTCAAACATATGGGTTGGACTACGAGGAAATATTTGCACCAGTGGCCAAACTAAATGCTATTCGAGTGCTGTTCTCAATTGTTGTCAATTTAGATTGGCCTTTGATCCAATTGGATGTAAAGAATGCTTTTCTCAATGGAGAATTAAACGAAGAAGTCTACATGGATTTTCCGCCCAGATTCGAAGGAAGCAAGGGCCTAGTATGCAAGTTGAAGAAGTCTTTGTATGGACTAAAGCAATCCCCCAGGGCTTGGTTTAATCGTTTTTCCAAAGCCATGACGAGTAGACAATATATTCAAGGTCAAGCTGATCACACCTTATTCTACAAACACTCAGCTAATGGGAAGTGTTGTATTCTCATTGTATACGTTGATGACATAATATTGACAGGAGATGACTCTATTGAAATTGAAAGACTAAAAGAATTCTTAAGTCTTGAGTTTCAACTTAAAGACTTTGAGAATCTTAGATATTTTCTTGGAATGGAGATAGCAAGGTCAAAGACAGGTATTTCAATCTCTCAAAGAAAGTATGTTCTTGATCACTTTCTGAAGTCGGACTGTTGGGTTGCAAACCAGCTGAGACTCCCATGGAACCCAACCTTAAATTAGGAACTGATAAGGATGGAGAAGAGTTAAACAGGGGGAGATATCAAAGGTTAATGGGAAAACTTATCTATCTTTCACATACTCGTCCAGACATAGCGTTTGGAGTAAGTGTTATTAGTCAATTTATGCATGCTCCTAGAGAGAAACATTTGGAAGCTGCCTACAGGATATTGAGATATTTAAAAGGGACTCCGGGTAAGGGGTTGCATTTCAAGAAAAATGTAAATCGAAGCATAAAAGTCTACACTGATGCAGACTGGGCAGACGCTATTAATGACAGGCGCTCCACAAGTGGTTATTGTAGCTATGTTTGGGGTAATCTCGTGACATGGAGGAGTAAAAAGTTGTCGGTTGTGGCACGTAGCAGTGCTGAACTGAGTATCGAGCTCTGTCCCAAGGTATATGTGAAGGAATGTGGCTACAACGGCTAATGGGAGAACTAAAATTATTCTATACAACACCTATAATACTGAACTGTGACAACCAGGCAGCAGTTAATATAGCTCACAACCCTGTACACCATGACCACACCAAGCATGTGGAAATTGATCGCCACTTCATTACAGAGAAAATTAACAAAGGGGAAGTTTGTGTTTCATATCTACCTACTCGACAACAAGTAGCAGATGTGTTAACCAAGAGCTTGAGCAGAAAAAGGTTCGAAGAAATTATGGGCAAGCTAGGTTCGATTGACATCTACACTCCAGCTTGAGGGGGAGTGTTGGAAATCCTTAAATTAAGGAGATTCTCTACCTTAGTTCTAGGAATTTCCTTGTAAATATTAGAGATTATTTCCTTTTTTATTTTTTTCTGCTATGTTAAAAAGGGTGTACTGCTATTCGAAAAAATAAGAGACTTTTCTTCTTCCTAAATTTGTTCAATATCTACAGCCAAATCCAGTAGTCAAGCCACAAAGACACAGTACCTGTTTAACAATATCTTTCCTTATATGCTTGTGATACTTAGAGGACCTGTACATCTGATCTGAGAGTGCACGAAACTGCAAAACGAAGTTTTGTGATTTGAATAAATAGTCATAAAGCTTGACTATGAAAATGAGGTAAAAGATCGGAGAGAAATTAACTTTCACCATTACATGGTATTACTGTACCTGACAGTTCCCATCACCAGTGACCTTCACTTCACATAGACCATAAACTTGGAGCCTGAGAAAAATGAGGGGTTTACCAAATATTTTATTCAAGACATATACAGAAATCTAGCAGCCTCTAAGAAAAGATATTCAAGCATGAGCTTAATCACAAGTTTCTCAACCACATTCTAAAAGAAAAAGAGGTAAAGCTCCTTGTCCATTAGACATAGGAACAGACATTGAGGATTTAAAAGTTAAGTTCCAAGGACAAAATATGTTGTAGTTACAACCCTTCTGAGTCATATGCACCTGCTTATGGTGTTGCATGAACTTTAATGTTTCCTCCATCAATATGCAATACTTGGGTAGGACCTGAGAATCGTATGCAAAAAGTTGTGCATGCTTGGAGTTGGAAATGCTTGCACGTTTGAAGGGTAAATCTTAAGATTAATATATATTGTATTTAATGTAGTATTACACGTGTAGCAGAATACGTATTATAGGACATTTATATTTGTATATATACCCATAATGTTGATGAATAAAAATATGAGAAAGCATTCTATTTCAAAATTCTACATGGTGTCAGATGTTCTAAAGCAATTTTAGGGTTTTAAAATTAGGGATTTTTTTGGTTGTTGGGTGTCCAAAACAGTGGCTTACTGCCGTTCTTCAAAGAGACTGCAAAGCGAGGAGCACACAAGAATTCAGGTGTACAAGTCATCTTAAATATCTAATCTCTCCTAAGATACACTAGCATAGTAACATATACTTGGAAAGAAAGAGAATTAATTCATCTAAAGCCATTATATCAAGAGAGAGAGTTAATAAGGAAGAATTCTGGAAGCAATGAAGACATAAATTAAAGTGCAACTCAAAGGAACATGGCTTAAATAGCATGCATGTGTTTTAACATAATTTCTCACCAGAATATTTATTACTTTATCATCAAAATAATTCTTTTCATATAAACATTTAGATTCCATTTGGCAGATAGTAGTACCATATGAAAGAAATCACTATAAAGGAAAAGCAAAAGGTAAAAGGAAAGCATTATAGTAAATTTATAATGGATAAATGATTAAAATGTAGCACGAATTCACTAAATCGGTTAAATTCTTCAATTTATCAATAAATACGAAATAAAAACCACGGCGCCTTCCAATTTTTCAACTACATAGATATGTATATCGATAATATGTTTTATCGTCTTCCAAATGAATGAAAATTAGTACCATAAGCTTTTAAACCATGTTTTCGGTACTGTTAAGTATAAGACATACCTCTCCAGAAGACGTTGGTGATCCAAACTTGCAGCATTTATGCTGGGAATATATGAGTTTATTTGTGGGATGTGCTGAAATTTCAAGAAATTTTCATTTAAAAGAGAAGAATTGCCAATCGATATCAATAAAATGTAGCAGTACAGAATAAATGTAATAAGCAAGAACTGTACAGATATGCAGAATGGATAAATGATAAAACAGGAGATCATCAAATGCATCGTTTCTCAGAGGTAATGAATGCTTAATGAGAACTGTGAATATTTCTTTTTGTTGAATTTAAGAGGGAGGGGGGAACAAAGATAAAACCTACTAAAATTAGTTTTAAAATGAATTCAGACAGACAAATCTATGAAGAAAACATAAACTTCACAAGTTAAGGGAAGCTAAATAGAATAAACAAGAAAAAAGGAAATAAATGGAAAGTGGAACAGCGTACAGGAACAGGTGCAAGACCAGAAAGGCGCCTAGCAACAGCACCATCTAACTTGGAATATTCTTCTGATAACATAACAGCAATCATCCGGTCATCCTCAGTATCCGGATGACTGCTCCAAGAGGATGAGGTAGAACTTTCACCCATGTGCTGAGCTCCATTCCACATGGTATAACTCAAGCCGAAACAGAAAACTAGTCCTCGGTATAAAACCAACTAAAACAGGTGCAGAATACTAGACTGCAAGAGCGAGAAGCTTAACACAATGAGTACCATTCTTAGAAGCCGAAGTAAAGACATAACAATATGTTTGATTGTTGGAATTCATTCAATTACGATCACATGATAGTTACATTATGGAAGACTGATAGGTAAAAATTAACAAGCAAGAAACACACACAAAAAATCCATGCAAGTGATTGGTCAGGATTGTAATTATATTGTTTTTCATAATAAAATCAAACTCGGGCATCATTCTTTTAAGCAATCTGCCTGCATATAGCAATTATTTAAAGGAAACTCCTTGTCTGAAAAATGGTATTGATCTAACAATGAAATTCAGGGATTAAGGGATTAAGGAAGGAAGTAAAGGAGAAGGACATTAATAATTAATAATGAAGGATACATTCGATTCAACAAAAACAAAAACACGGCAACATATATCTAATCTATAACATTTTTCACCGAAGGATCTGCCGATGCTCAAAAAGAAAAAGTAAATACCAATTAAGACACAAGAAGACATACATCATCAACATCAAGCTTAAAATCTGGACCGAAAATGAACAAAAGAACCCAACTTACTAATGATAAGAATCACCGGAGATACGCCGTTGCAGCGGGAGTCGAAAGATCAAAGATGGGTGGGTGATTGCTGTTGATTCCGAGTCTTGAATTGAAGAAACTTATTTATTTATTCATTCTCCTTCCCTGTGACTGCTTCCACGAATGTAACCAGAAAAGAAGAAAATATCTTACTTATTCTATTCTATTTTATTTATTTGCGGGTTGAAAAAAAGGTGTATTTCCATAGTAAAGGCCTTAATGAGTCCTCTAATAGGTTGAGGATGGCGGGGGGTTTCCGTGTTGGTAGTTAGTGGTTGGCTTTCGCGGTTTATGCGCAACAAGACAGCTCCACTCGCTCGCCACCCGTGTCGTTTTCAGTTTTTTCTTTTCCGTCCAACAAAGATGTCTACTTTTTTCTATCATTATCACTAGAAAATCAACCACGCTATATCGGTGAGAAAATTAATTTCTGTTTTTGTTTTCATTTGGTGATAATATTATATATAGAGATATACGATGGAAAACGAGTCTAGCAAAGAAGAACATTATGAAAAGGGCAAGAAATAACGAGAAAAAAATGAAAGAGAGGATTTTAAAATGAATATGGTCAATAAAATAAATAATTAATTAAAAAAATCAAACTTTAAATTGAACATGTGTCCACACTAAATATACTGTACATCTACGGTATGAATGGCTAATAAAGTTAGATATTTTTGTTTTGACCAAGATTTCTACAATAAAATTAATTGATACTTATTTCTATATGTAATGAGATAAGGGGAATGTAAGATAATAGGTTGCCCCAACGTCAGGTTGAGAGCAATTTCTATAAAAGACCTCCAAATTATAAAATGCCCTCAGTGAGACTCGATCCCATGACCCCAAGACTAATAGCCTTGTGCTCTACCAATGAACTGGATGGTCATTTCATCAGAATTTCTACAATGTCTATATCAAATTATCTTAGACACTTGTGTTCATGTATATTATTTTCCTCTGACACAGACCGTTTTCAATAAGAAAATCAAAGGAAAAAAAACTAATTGTCACTTATCTAGTAGTAAGTTTAATTTTGAACTTGTTTGTCATAATTTTTCTTCTTCGAGCCTTTATTTGATACTGAGATGAGTTCTAACCGTTCCAAATAGTTAAAGAAGCATCACTCCACAGTCCACGATCATTATTCAATATCCGGTCTGCGCTCACTCAAGGAAACACCACAACAACATCGCCCCACACGGCCACAATCACCACCAACCATTGAACCTAACACATCTGCTTAGGGATGCTACTGTTTTAGCTTACACCCTTTCAAACCTAACCAAATGACCTTTAACGTCAACGTTAAAAAACTTCTATGAAATTAAGATACCAAAACGGGAATGGTTTTAGGTTTTACGTTAGATAGACTTCAAATTTTATTATAAAAAACTTCGTTGAATTTCAGTGTTTGCCGATTAACAAATCAACTAATAATAGTAATGTCTTATTACTTTTATTTACGTTAATGAAATGAAAGTACGAAATACCATCCTTGTCCATAAATAAAGTGGAAAATACAACTTATTAAGGTATATTAAATAAGGGTAAAATAAACGAATGGTCTCTCGACTGTAAATATTGTTTTGTTGAGTCATCTGATTATTAAAAATTACAAAATCTCATTCGACTATAGGGTATTACTTTGTCAAGTCTCTTGACTATTAAAAGTTATAAAATAACCACTAAACTATTCATATGTTCTAAACTCGTCATTTTTTGTTAAAAAATTAACGGTATCTAAGCTGAACGCATGGACGGAGCCAAGATTAAATACTGAAGGGGGACACAATATTAGACTATTTAAAATAAAAAAATAACTTATTAAGTATTCATACTCAAAATTCAACACGAACCAAGCGACTTTAGCGATTAAGAGATTGTTGTTATTTTTTATGTGTCAAGTTTAAGCATTGCGTATGTAAGAGTATGAGCGTTTATTTGCGAATGGTTAAGAGTCTTTGCACAAATATTACTTTGTATTCATCCCAAATTTATATATAAAAAAACTCAAAATTCACAAGACAACATCTAATTTGTCTAATATTTAAACTTACAATGACTTAAATTGTTATTAGAAAAAAATTGAGAACATGAGTTTATCATTCTTTAGTTCGCCCCTTACTCGATTAAATATTTAATAAATTCTTAAATTTTTTAATTTTAATATTTATTTTTACATGAATTAAAAACTATTAGACCAAATTATATTGAATATACTAAATTTTTAACAGGATTCGGACCCCAATAGAGCTCCGCCCCTGGCTAGACATTAACATATTGACTAAGATATAATAATCGTTTGAGATTCAAGATCAAATTTTATCATATTTCAATCAATAAATTAACATTCAGTTTAGACGACAGTTAATATTTTAAAAGTGATAATAATTTAAAATATGAATAATCAATGTGATATTTTTATAACTTTTAATAATAGAAATTTAATAAAATAATGATTTATAGTAAGAATATCTGTTTATAATTTTTAATAATTAAATAACTTAATAAAATAATACCCTATAATAATTACATGATTTGTATATAATAAGACTAAGAATGAAGGTAGTAAGATGCGTGTGTTGGACAAAAATACTAACAAAATTAATGAAGATGTGGCTTCACAGCTACCAAATTTTAAGCAAACCTTCCCACACCCACGTGGCCTCTCGCTGCCCGTCCATCCAACTTACCCAGCGTTCTTTTTCTCATATAAGTAACCCAGCCATCTGGTCCACTGTAACTTGCCCTTCCATCTTAGTCTTGTTCTTCTTTTTCCTGCATCTCTTTTGTTTGATAGAGATATTACGTAGACCTATCTTCTTAATATCCTATAATATCTCTGGCGGATCCGATGGAAAAAATTAACGTGGAGGAGATCAGAAAGGCACAAAGAGCCGAGGGTCCGGCAACCATCCTCGCCATTGGCACCGCCACTCCTCCCAACTGCGTTTCCCAGGCAGACTACCCGGACTACTACTTCCGTATCACTAACAGCGAACACATGTCAGACCTGAAACAAAAATTTAAGCGCATGTGTACGTACTAATATAGCATATACATTTAATTGCACTATACATATCTGTTATTGAATTTATGTTTTTGTCTCAATAGGCGACAAATCAATGATCAGGAAACGATATATGTATCTGACCGAGGAAATATTGAAGGAGAATCCAAACATGTGTGCGTATATGGCTTCTTCTCTTGACGCGCGCCAAGACATAGTGGTGGTGGAGGTGCCCAAGCTGGGGAAAGAAGCTGCTACAAAGGCCATCAAAGAATGGGGTCAACCGAAATCCAAGATTACACACCTTGTTTTCTGCACTACTTCAGGTGTAGACATGCCTGGTGCAGACTACCAACTCACCAAGCTGATTGGACTGAGACCCTCGGTGAAGAGGTACATGATGTATCAGCAAGGCTGCTTTGCTGGCGGAACTGTGCTCCGACTCGCCAAGGATTTGGCGGAAAACAACAAGGGAGCTCGTGTTCTCGTGGTCTGCTCCGAGATCACAGCTGTCACTTTCCGTGGACCATCTGACACGCACTTGGATTCCCTAGTGGGACAAGCACTTTTCGGTGATGGCGCTGCAGCTGTCATCGTAGGTGCCGACCCTGATACAAAATCGAACGTCCGTTGTTCCAGCTTGTATCAGCCGCTCAGACGATCTTACCGGACTCGGATGGAGCCATCGACGGACACTTGCGTGAGGTGGGACTCACTTTCCATTTGTTGAAAGATGTACCGGGCTTGATCTCGAAGAACATAGAGAAAAACTTAGTAGAAGCCTTCTCCCCAATTGGCATTAAGGACTGGAACTCAATCTTCTGGATCGCTCACCCCGGTGGCCCTGCAATACTCGATCAAGTGGAAGCCGTATTGGGTCTTAAAGAAGACAAACTCCAGGCGACACGCCGTGTGCTGAGTGAGTTTGGCAACATGTCGAGTGCATGTGTGTTGTTCATCTTGGACGAGATGAGAAAGAAATCAGTGGAAGAAGGGAAGGCCAGCACCGGTGAAGGGTTGGAATGGGGTGTTCTTTTCGGATTCGGACCAGGTCTCACCGTGGAAACTGTCGTGCTGCATGGTCTCCCCACACATGCAACTCACTAACCGATCTATCGTTCAACGGTTGAACTAAAAACAATAATAAATGAGAAAAAGAGCGAGAGTTATTGTTTGGTGTTGGGGAGAAATCAAAAGACAAAGCAAAACACATGAAGCCTGTGATATGGTTTTTTATCTATTTTTATATTTGTAAAGCGTATGTGTAGTTATGATGTGAGTGTGATCACCTATCCCCTTAAATAACTAAGAGAAGGTTCACATTTTCCTGGAAATGCAGTTAAATTGGAACGAGTCCTTTACCTGCCGAATGCCTTTACAAATAGCATTTGAAGGTTGGGAAAAGGATTTTGCATCTGTATTCTGTAACCCTCCAATTGCATGTTATTAATATCAGTTTGTATGTGCTGTTGGCTTTTCTCATCCTCTTCTTCTCAAGTCAACATTTATAAATGGTAATAACTGATATCGTAGTTTGGGACCGAATACGATTATGAGATGATAGCTGGCTATCCCAACCAAACCTATGCTAATTCCTTCTTTATTTCTTTGTCCAAGAACTATGTTAGAATCAGCTAGATTGATTCAAATGGTAAGTAGTTTACTATCGTTTAAACAAGATCTTAAGTTCGAGTATATATACATAGAAAATTCCTGTTGAGAGACTCACCCATTAAAACTAGGTGTGTAACATGGGTCGGTCCGATTAACCAAGGCAAATCCTTGGAACCAGTTGGGTAAACAAAAAACAAAACTAGGCTAGAATATTATTGCAATACAAAATGGTTTTATTTTTAAATTAAAAAATATATATCTATAATAATGTGAATATGTAACACCCCAACCCGTACCCGACCCGAATACGAGTCTAAGGTGTCACATTGACTTTTCAAATTTGACTCTTGACAAACTTCAAAGAAAATTTAAAACTTTCATTAAAATAAAAGCGGTTTATTTACATAAATTGACCAAAATAACCAAAATCGATCCGAGCATATTCAACTCAATTAATTAGTACAATCCAACTATATTCAAAATAACCTAACACATTTAAATTATATATTTTCTGATATGAAATTTTGTAAGGAGATGCTGACCTGTCTTGCTCTTCTTCGCTTCTCTTCTTGATTCTGTAACCTACGTGTGAAACAATCACACGCTAAGTCTATGACTTAGTGAGGCATTAAACTTATAAAGGAAACTCTAAATGCTTAAACATGTATGAACATGTCATCTTATAATGCCACATCAAAACAATATAACATATATATAACATACTATACACATATACATATTATGCATTATTTTAAATCTCTAATCTTATTCCACTATTAATTTCTTATCATTTATATCTTATAATTATATCCTCTTATATCTATTCTTTTACTCAACATATTATTCAATTAACCAAGCAATACAAACATTATCATATAAATCATATCAGATTATCTATTAAGAAATACGTGCATACATATAAATTATCGTTAGTCACATATCATTTAATCACATAGCACATATACTTAATCTGCTTAATCATATACTATACCTATACCTCATCATGTCATTGCTATAAAATTTATCATATCACAATATATATTTGTTATTATCTCTTGATTAGCCTATGTACATATGTGAGAACTATTGATATGTGAGTCTCTACACTAATGTTGTCACCACAGCTCGTATAAATGCACCGAAGTGCCACGTAGAATTGCATCGAAGTGCCGCGTAGAATTGCATCGAAGTGCCATATAAAATGTCCCTAAGGACCACATAGAAAATTCCTTAAGAATCATATACATATACAAAGGATCAAGTATGTGTCTCAAAAGACATCACACATGTTCCAAGGAATACATATATGTCCCGATGGACCGCGTAGACCCTCGACTCTTGGCATGCCAACTATACCTCTAGCTCTCAAGACACATAGCATGGGCATTAATATTTATGTTTGTCACATATTCACACATTCATATCAAATAGACATATAGATCCCTTTCACATAGCTTATATCATACCTTCATGTAGTCACACATCTCTTGTCACATGTCTTATTATTACATTTTTATAATATCACACGTAGTCAAGTAGTTCATTTCCATATAAATCACACATACACGTAGATCACTTGCACATAGAACATTTTCATAATACTCACATATCACATAGCTTATACTTGTTCTTATATCTTCTCATAACATATTCTCTTATAATTTTCTGTCATATCATTCTCACCATTTTATTTCACCTAATTCATAGTCATGTGGCTTATCTTATATACATATATTCATATACCTTATAATTACCTAGTGTACTCCATTTCACACATAGTCACATAATTACGAAATTTACTTACACATAAATCATTTCCATACCTAAATCATATAACACCCGATTCTTCCTCATAAAGTTATACTATATATTCTTATAATCTCATATTATCCTATAAGTAAATACTTATCTTGTCTCATTTTTCCATTTATTCTTATAATTATTTATACCATAACATGTAATTTATATCACATATCTAATATTATTTGTATAATAAGTTAATCTATTTATTTAGTTAAATTTTACATAACTCCTATACCATAATTCTCTTTAAGTATACTTCTTCTCTATAACACTTATCTTATAGTTTGGCATCATCATTTATACTCAATTCCCTTCACTAATATATTATTCTCATATTACTCTATAGTCTAATCTTATTTAACTCATCACCCTTCTCATGTAGTCATATAAATCTATTATATTGATTCTTATAATTGATCACATTTACTATGTAACATGTATGGTCACCTATCATATAACTTATTTCACATTCCCATGTAATCATATAGATCATTCATATTAATTCCTATAACTTATCACACTACATGTATTCACACAAATCATTTAATACATACTATAATATATATCACATATACCCAAATCAAACATATGGATATGATCAGAAATTCATGCATTCTAATATAGGAAATAGACTCGTCGCAAGTCTTATTTCCTTTAAACATCATAAACTAACTTGTATGCACTCACATTGGCCTCACTAAGTTCAAATCCCCTTTTATGATTTTCCTCTCTTTCGATCGAATCTTAACTTAATGATCATCCCGGAACTTGTTCGTGCTCGATATCTACATGTTTATACATTGATCCATATCAGTATCTAATTGATGTATTCTAATCTATCATTTCCTAGACCAAAGGAAATACCTAATTCTATTTTCCCTTGAAGTGCATCGGTACATTCTACAGTGTATCGATGCATCTCTTAACATGTGCATCGATGCAGTACACCATGCATCGATACACAATTTACATTCGATGTTTCCATTTTAAGGGGTGTATCGATGCACCCCCTATGCATCGATGCACTCACTGCATTCAATGTTCATTTATTTGAGAGTGCATCGGTACACAATGAATGTGCATCGATGCACACAACCCAAAAATTCCAATTAGAGCACGAAATTCACTTTCTTTTTAGCTCAACTCTTCATATTTCATTCCCTTTTATATTCTTAACTCACATACACATATTCAAACTCATTTCTATTCAATAATCACTTCTTTAACCTCCATATCCTCTCCTCCTTATGAAATTCAAGAATCATACCTAAATTTTAACATGTTACAAATCCAATTCTAACACTTCATACATGTTAATTAGATTGATGACAAGTCAAATTCACTCTTAAACCTCATTAAAGAAACCTGTTTCAAGATTTCACTTATTCCTCTCTTTTCTTTAATTCCCTCTATTCCCTTCATCTTATTGTTTCAAAACAATTTAAGCTCTCCTTAAGCTTAATTATCACTTAATAATCAAAACTCAACCTTAAATTTAACCAGAAACTCAAAATCAGAAAACTCACCTTTAGCTCTTGGTTTTCACGCGTGAAGGAAGAAGAAAGATGAAGATAACTCTAGAAACCACTTTGTTTCCTCTTCTCTTCCACGTGTAATATATATATAACCATTTTTAATTATTTTCCCTGCAAATGACCCTTTTGCCCTTCAATTCATCTAATAATTACTAACATCTTTCAAGTAATATTTCCAAATAATCATTGAACTATTTTATTTTTCTACTTTAGTCATCAAATTCTGAAACTTTACGATTTAGTCACTAACTCATAGTTTAGAATGTTATAGAATATGTGATTAATAAATACAAGTATAATAAAATTGTTTTATTAACATTTAGTTGTTGAAACACATTTGTTTTTAAACTTTTGAATTGAATTACTGATTTTAAGTTCAATGATAAAATGCAAACTTTTTATCAAATTAAATAAATATTAGTAACAATTAAAATGTTATAAAAGAATAAACTTAGAATTTCAGTAAAAAAATATTTTAGTATATATATATATATATATATATATATATATTTACTTTCCAATTAAACTAAACAGGGTTTTGGGTTTCACAGCTCACTTGGGTATTTGCACAAACGTAATTGTTGAGCTTCATGCGATAAGAATCAGGTTGTCAACTGCATGAGAGCATGGTTACAGGAACATGGAGTGCGAGGTGGATGCTCGGATAATTTTACAGCTGATCGAGAGTGGTGATGTCGCTACTCATTTTTTGAGGACAGTTATAGAAGATATTTGAAGCCTAAAAGTGTTGTTAGATTCTTAAATTTCAACATATTTACCGTAGAAGGAAATTTTGTGCTGATATTCTCTGAAGAAGAGCTTGTTATCTTTAATTCTCTGCCTGTAGAAATCTCGTCCTTGTACGCTGATTGCAGGGTGGTTCCTTTCCGAGAGGCTTCACCGTGAGTTAGCATGTTACTGTTTTCCCTTTGTAACCAAAAAAACGTATATGGTATATATTGTTGACAATTTGAAAATGAAAACATAATAATCACAATATCAAATCAAATCAAAACAAAATAAAAGAATAAATTGTTTTTATATCTTATAACTGAATATTTAAATATTTAAAATACATTTATTAAAATTTTAATAATATAATATTTTGTTTTAATAAGTAACTAGTGTTTATTAAAATTATTAATAAATATATTTTATATATTAAATAAAATTTTTACGAGAATAACAAATATTAATGATTTATTTTATATATATATATATATATCAATAACGTATTAACTGTAGTATAACTTATGTATAAGGTTCGATTCCCTTAACCCCGTTTACATTTCACCATTTCTATTTTCTACTTCCATTTATTTATTCGAATTAAAAATTTTAATTAAGTGATTAAAATATAACTATCTCTATAACTCAGTGAATACACATGTAATTTTTCCATTTATCATAAAGGCTTTTAATCAAAGAGATTGATGCTTCTGTTCTGCTGCAGCAGAAAGAAACCCAGAGAGGGAGAGAGAGAAAGAATGGAAGGAATTCCCGAAGATAAGGCGGAATTTGATGAAGCGGAGATAGAATATGTTAGCTATGGAGGGGAGCATCATCTGCCTCTCATCATGAACTTGGTCGATCAAGAACTTAGTGAGCCTTACTCCATCTTCACTTACCGATATTTCGTCTACCTTTGGCCCCAACTCTCGTTCCTCGTAATATCTCCCCCACCCCCTTACTTTTAGCTTTTGCGCTATGGGTTTTATCCAAAGTTCCTTATTTTTCACGCTTTAAAATAAAAGCAGGCTTTTCACAAGGGTAAATGCGTGGGAACTGTGGTATGCAAGATGGGGGAACATAGAAATACTTTCAGGGGCTACATTGCCATGTTAGTTGTAATCAAGCCTTATCGTGGAAGAAGAATTGGTAAATATATATGTAGATGCTCGGTTTTGTCCGGAGGCTTCGTATCTAGTACACGATATAAATTTGGACCAGGGAAAGCCCAAATGAGCCCAAACCTGTTGGAGGCCCAGCTCAAGACCAATGGACAGCAGTTGTATGCAGAAAAAGAAAGAGATCAATGTTGGTTTTAGAAGTTGAAATAATCAAATAGTGGGAATTGAAAACTGTAAAGAGTCAGTTTGAGGGTATTAACCACTAAAAAAGAACACTATAGAGCAGGGGAGGATTCTACACACAAGAGGAGGAAAAGCACAAAAGATTTTTTTTCTCCTTTTCATTCGTTTTTACACACAAAATAACATATAAAAACATGTAAATAATATTTTTCCGGTATTCAAAGATCAATCGGTGTAACAATGGTCTTCCTTATCTTTTCCGAAAACAATACAAGCAATCCATAAACAGGTTATTTTCCTTGTTTTTTTTTCTTCTTCGAAATATTCAGTAATGCTATGTGCGGTCTATTATTTTGCATTCAAAACATAGAAAATAGAGAGAAATTTACCTAATCTATTTGTTGTCGGAGTCGGGGCTTGCATGCGTATGAGAGGCTCGGTTTTAATTTTAAATCTAAGTAAAGAGGGAATGTGTTGTTGGTCGGTTTCATGTTTAGTCTGGGCATTTGGTTCGATGCGTTATGAATCGGTAAAAGAGAGGGGTTTGGACAGAGAGTTTTGAGTGCCATGGAAATCTCATCGGGGCTTAGCAAAGGGTGTGACCATGGTGGTCACCATGGTTTTTGTTTGAGCTTTCTGTTTAGCGTAGAGGATGAGATGAGCAGAGAAGAGAAAGGGAGTAAGAGGCTGCATTTTTTTTGCTTAGGTTAGGGTTACCATTTGTGCTTAAGGGTAGTATTTATTTTAAGATTTTAGGTCTAATTGAACTGTACTCCCTCAAAAATTGCATGTTTTAATGTTTATATCATGGCTCTGTGTTGTTTTTAATATTATTTGAACATTAGTTCGTAACTATTATATATGTTTATATTGAATATATTTTAATTATTATGTTATGCATTTTTATTTATTTATTTGCACAATAGTGCGTAAGTGTTATATATATTATATTAACTAAGCTTTAGTTATTATATTGTACGTTATTTCTATATACCCTATATTGCATACGTTTAATTTACATATTATATTATTAAATAGGTGCATGTAATTTTTGTATGAATATGTTACTTTGCATGATAGCTCTTTTTGTATTCTTCAATGTATATGTGATCATATGACATTTTTTCTACAATTTGTATGGTACCCTCATGGGCATAACTCGACCTATTACATAATCGGACTAAGGGTAATACCCTTTTAATTTAAAATTGTTTCGAGTGGCCTGTCTTAACTGATTAGAGGGCCGTTTTGACAATTTTAAATTAAAAGTGTATCCCAAAAGTGAAACCAAAAATTGATTCGTCACCTAAAATTTGGGAATGAAAGAAAAGGAAATGTTCGTTTATTTAAATTTATCGAGAAAAGGTTGTTATAACTTTTAAGATCTGATCTCGACATTTGTAAATAATCGAACATTCTTTATCTTTCTAAAACGACTTGGTAATTTTAATTTAATTTATTTGAGTGCTTTTGAATGTTTTAAATTTACATTTTTATTTTATGGGATCAAAAATCAAATTGAATTCGAATTTGTAAAGTTCAATGCAAGGACGTTAATTAATCGATTAGGTACCGATTTAGGGCGTTGTGGGGGTGCTAATCCTTCCCCACACGTAACCGACTCCCGAACTCGGATTTTGGTAACGCAGACCTTAATTTGTTGTTTTAATTAAAATTAATTTTTATTTAAAATAGCAAGCATTTTTTGATGTCCAATCACACCCTAATCAAAGATTGGTGGCGACTCTTCGAACTGTAATTTTTGATCGTAAAGGAAATCCAAAATTTTTCGAAACGAGAGGTCTTGTAAACCACATTTTGTTTTTAAATTAAATAATTAAGAATTAATTTGGTTTTCAAAATCTCACCTTTTCACTTTTAAGGAAAAAACGTTTCGACAGCTTGGCGACTCTGCTGGGGACTTTTTTTTAGAGAGTCATGCCGATAGTCAATTAATTAATTGTCTTTGAAATTAAAAATTACAAATTCGTTTTAATTTGATTTTTGATCTCTTATTTGGTTTTTAATAAGTTTTGTTTGTATTTTGATTTTTTTTAATTTAATTCGATTAACAATTAAATAGTTGTACTAATCTGTTTGCTAATGGTTTCAGAATAATTGTTTGTTATAGGAATTGATTTTGAGTGTTTTTATTGTTTGTTTTTTTCTTTTCCTCACACACTGCACAGCTGCATTATCATAACATGAGCTAAAACCCCGCTCCGTCCTATTTAAGTAGGAGTGAGAGACTATGCCCTCGTGTGGTTTTCACCTCCGCATGGGATAGTGGATCGCTCCTGGAGCTCACGCCTTATGGTCCTCGTGATGGTAATCACCTCCGCATGGACATAAGGAGGTGTGTTCCCTCGAAATTGAACTCGATCCCCTAAAGCCTATGATGGGCCAGGATTGAGGGTTTGGCAGCCCAAGGGGGAACCAGCAAGGACAATTCGAGAACCTATTACTTTAGAACCTAACCCGGCATATAGTGAACGTAGAGCCTGAACTTAGGTTGAGCCAAACCCGAACCTTAAGAATCCCGTGAGGAGGGTACACAAGGAAAAGCTTTGTTGAGTCATTTATGTTCGTTTTTTTCGAATAAATGCATGCGAACTAGATATCATGCGGTTAGGTTTATTTTTTGAACAAGCATGCGAATTAGATATCATGCAGTTATGATTTATTTTTGTGAATAACAGCATGTGGGTAGGATTCTTGAACAAATTATTATCCCGATTTAATTGCTTTATGTTTACTAACCGATCTTTTGTTGTTTTTGCCTTGTTTCTTTTCTGTTTTGCATTGCATTGTCCATTACATGGTGTTGATTTGGGGTCGATGTCCATATAGAAGGCCAGTAATATGGAACGAACGGTTCAGAAAGAGGTTGAGGACAATGCAGATGTTCTGAGGTGGTCGGAACAATCCCAGTTGACCAATGGAGACAATGTGATGCCTGGATATGTGTCAGAGTTATTTGGTTACACTCACATCAACGTACGTCAGAATGATCTGAGTGAGCTAAGAGAGATATGGGGAAGATGGGAAGCAGCCGATAAGGAGATGTTTTATCAGTTGTACGTCGATATTCCTTGTCTTCTAGATGTTCCTATTGACCGAAAATGTTTAGAGCATTGGCACAGTTCTGGAATCCGGCTTATAGCTGTTTCACATTTGGTAGGGTGGACCTGACACCAACAATAGAGGAGTATCAAGCTTTGGTCCGTTGTCCGAGGTCCCAAATGGATAGAATATATACCAAGCTGCCAGTCACTCCTTCGTTTAAGAAGAAATTACTATTGATGACCGGAATGAGTGAAGATTGGGTAATCAGAAACATTAAGAAGAAGGGAGACAGTGAGTGTATCTCTTGGGCTGCTTTGAAAGAAGTAATTGATCATCATCCTGATAAGAGAAAGAAGCTTGACTTGTTTGCTTTAGGGATTTATGGGCTCGTTATTTTTCCAAAGGTGCTAGGATATGTAGACGTATCAGTCGTTGACCTGTTTGAAAGATTAGACAAGCGCGTGGATCCTGTTCCAGCTATTCTAGCTGAGACGTTCCGGTCTTTGAGTTCTTGTAGACGCGAGGGAGAATGACGCTTTATAGGATGTGCGCCTTTGCTGCTAGTGTGGATTCTGAGTCATTTCAAACATGTTGAAAGGGCACCAGGACGAGTATTTTTAGACGGTTTCTCACCTTTGAAGGATTTTCTTTCTAAAGAGTGGACTAAACCTTTGAAGGATTTTCTTTCTAAAGAGTGGCCTGGGGGTTTTACTGAAGAAAAATGGATGGTCATCTTCAAGGATATTAGAGATGGTGATATCGTGTGGCGAGCTTCGTGGAATATCTCTTCGGATATACTTTACCGATGTGGAGAGCGAGATTGGGTTCCTTTGCCAGGTATATGGGGTTCTGTTGGGTATGCACCGCTACTAGTTTCCAGACAGTATGATCGAGGCAGTTCATCCCAGCCACGTGGGACTTGGTAGGGTCGGATTTTGCATTCAAAGGAGATCAGTATAAGGTTAAAGTTAAAGGGGTTGCTGAGGCTTGGAAGCAAACTCGTCGTGTGAATCTGTTCACTTATGATCTCGAGTTATCTCAAGAGTACGAGCAGTGGAGAAGCGGTCGAGTAAACGACAACATCCCGATAGTGAATCCTGAAAATATTCAGCCGGTAGAGGAACAGTTGAGAGTGGTGCCATCTCCATTAGAGTTAGCCAAGCGCGATTTCGAAGCAGAACGGAGACAATGGAGAATGACTTTACAGAAGCTAGAAGATGAAGTGTATCAAAAGGGATTGGAGATTGACATTCAGAAGAGTAGAGCAGATCGAATTGAAAAAGTAGAGAAGCAACTTCGGCTGGATTTTGACGATCTTCGGTCAACTTATCAGCGAATGGTAAAAGCTCAGGCAGGTTCTAGCTCGAGTAAGTCTGTCGAATTGAGGCAAGAGGTGGCAAGCCTCAAAAGAGTAGCCGGAGAGAGTCAAGAAGAGCTCAAACAAAGCAGACACCAAGTGAAGATTTTATCGAAAGAAAATGATTCTTTAGAGCAATGGTTACAAAAGAGTCAAGCCCAGAATGAGAAGTTGAAGGGGAAAATTTCAAGTTTAGAGACTGTATTACGACGATACCGAAGCGGGGAAGGTAGCTCGAGCCGTGGGGAGGTTGAAAGTTTGAAGAGACAAGTGGGCGAGCTTGAAGCCATGGTTCAAGTGAGCTATTGATAGTTCCCTATGAGGGGGATATACAGTGGCATTTTCGATGGGAGCGAGCTCAGGCGAGAGTTAAGCAAAGAGAGGACTTTATTGCTTGTTACCTAGAACACGCGCGGGGAATA